CAAAGTACGTAACGAGAACTAAAAATTAGTACACATTTGACAATGACACTTCGGACTCGCAAACGTTACTTACGATATTGGTTCGTGCTAAGGATACAGATCGCGGCACGTAAGGGTATGGCCAGAGTGCACTCAGATTCAGATTCAGACTCAGAAAACAAGCGCGAGAAAAAGACAGTGTAGTTAAAACAGGGTGGCCATAGTGGCCGCAGGCAACCTGCTTAAACTACACTGTATATTTCTCGCGCTTGTTTTCTGAATCTGAATCTGAATCTGAGTGCACTCTGGCCGTACCCTAACTCTAGCACTGAAGAAAACACTTCAGGGATAGCTGCGCGTGGGCACGACTGGAGAGCCAATCGGCGCAACGCACGCCCACCCGCGCACCTCGTTTCCCCCTCAACACATCTTAATTTTTCTTCTGCGTAATCAGAAATCAGAAATCAGAAATCAATATATCTTTATTCAAATTGGATGTATAGTACAACACTTTTGAATCGTCCAAACATTTTTTTCCCTACCACTCGTTATTGGACATATTTTTTAGCTGCGGAGAAAAACGAGCGAAAAAAACTCCACAACATTAAAAGAATAATGTAACAACATTTGCAAATCATTATGTTGTTACAACGTCAAAACAATCATGATTTATTTAATATAGAACACCTGTTGGATTGATTGGAACAGTTCAAACCCAAGCATTTTTGTCTGTAATATAATCAGACACTTAGTAATAAGCTTTTTTAATAAGTGCTTTTTTTATACTATCTTTGAATTTATTTATGCTTAACGGTCGGGTAATAACGGTCAGCGCTAGAATTTCGTGCCGTGACTTATATGGAATATAATATTAGTGTTTTTTTCTGTAAATAGACATCACAGAAACTAATCCTTTTCATCATCATCATCAGCCTATTAATGTCCGCACTGCTAGGGCATAGACCTTCCCCATGGATGGATTAGGGAGATTGGGCCATGACCCACCACGCGGGCCAGTGCGGGTTAGTGGGTGCTAACGACTGCAGATGCAGCCGGGAGCAACGGCTTAACGTGCCTTCTGAAGCACGGAGGAGCTCGAGATAGTAAATTTTTGGTCATCCATCCAATGACCGACCATTGCGAAAGTTGCTTAACTTCAACGACCGCAGCCGAACGCGCTAACCACCCTCGCCATCGAGCTCCTCATCCTTTTACCAGAATTTAATACCAGAATCTTTTTTAGTTGAAAACAGGACCGCTGTAGCATGAACTTTAAAGGTGTATATTTCATACAACTGCCGGAATTTTTTAAATTAATAATTCAATCTGTTATCATTTAAATAAAACATGTTTTTGTTGTATAAACAGTTATTTATGTATGTTAATTTACATTGAATAATTACATTTTATTTATCTTATCATACCTCTACCTACATACATCATGGCGTGTTAAATATAATACAAACTAAGGTTTAATAAAACTATAAGTTTTCTATTTACAACTATTTACAATGTGACGTTATTTTTCTTGACTTTCAGTAGAAACAAACCAGATGCATTAAATAATTTTGAATTTTTAACAAAGGAAAGATTTATTAATAAGTGTTGCCGTTAATTTTCTTAGGGCAGTGCAATGAACATAGCCACAGTCCCCGTAATAACCACTCTCAACTATGGGGCTGAAAACCGTTTAAATTTTGGGTAAGTTACACCAATGGTCAATTAAATATAAGAATTTCCTTAAATTGTGAATTTTTTATAAACTGTAAAATGAAAAGCACCCTCAATTGGAGATAGCATAAATATAGAAAGTATACAATTATACATTCTTGCATTTCTCGCTAAAATATTTGTTTTTATTACATATTATAATAAAGCATACATTTTAGCGAGTTTGCGAGTTGACTATTTAAATAAATAAATAAAATAAAATAAATATTTCCGACACTCACACCAATTAGCCTAGCCCCAAAGTAAGCACTATAATGCTTGTGTTATGGGATGCTAGGGTAACGGATAGAATACATATACTGTACATATATAAGTATATTTATATAAATACATATTAAACATCCATGACTGGAGTACAAATGCTCGTATTCATCACACAAACATCTGCCCCCACCGGGATTCGAACCCGGGACCTCTCGAGTTGGCGACAGCCATGAAACCCGGCGTACAAACCACTCGGCCACGGAGGTCGTCAAATGGGTTTTATGAACGTTCCTGATGATTATTTAAAGTTTCATCAATTTTTAACGAACAGAAGCGTATTCTAGCCATCGAGAACTACGCCACAAGTAGGTAATAGTCATATTTGGTAAGTTTATTGGATTGATGTAGTTGCTGGAGAGGTATATTTTTCTGTCACCCTGTATTCCCACTTACAATATTTTGTAATATTACTTGTTTGTGTGTACAAAATGCGTAGTTTGAGATTTTGTCATAGGATTTTTTACACCCCGTATATGTACAGTATATGTATTCTATCCGTTACCCTGGGCATCCCATAACACAAGCCTTACAGTGCTTACTTTGGGGCTAGGCTAACTGGTGTGAGTGTTGGAAATATTTATAATTATTATAAATAAAATTTTACTAGAAAAAAATCCATTTGGTCAAAGTTTCAGACAGGATTCGAACCCGCATAATCCTTGGTTGGTGCGTCCGCCCAGATAGCTGAAGATGAGGGTTCGAAACTTCGTATCCCGTCAGTAACCTGTGATAATACGCACTCGCAAACTATTCGAATTCGATATTGGTTCGTGCTTAGGGTACCGGATCGAGTGAATTTTTTTTCTAGTAAATTTTCTTTAGCTCACATTATTTACTCTTATGGAAATATCACTGAATCATTTGTCTTACCGTTTTATAATACTTAGCGACATAAGGTATTTGACAGTATTAAAAATAAAGTGCCAATTGTTAGCATCTTTGTTTAGAATGAATATTGGCAAGGGTTTTTATTATTTTTACAAAATATAAATATTTATAATATTTCGTGGAATTTTACTAAAATCCCACGAAAAAGGTAATAGTTTTCTTATCTATTATCATTGGCGGAACCTAAAATGACGTCACACGCAAGTAAACTTCCGGTTAAAGTGACATTACATTATATCGTTTGACGTTTTAATAACAGTGGTGTGACGTCACACACTAGTAAGACGCCATATTGTCCAGAAAAACGTTTTCGCGGCAACTTGAAAATGGAGTTTTTGTTTTGGTTTTTTTTACTGAAATACACAACAGAATGATCAGTGGCGGCGCTAGGCGTCGGCGACGACGGCCACCGCCGACGGCCTCGCGCCTGAGGGGGCCTCGCAAATTTTTTTTAATGGTTACCTATTTATTTACGTTTCTCCTGGCCTGGCTTCGGTAACCGACCCCGAACAATTCGGGGAAAAAGCGAAGCAGATGATAATGACTTTTATTATTTCCGAACACGTGCGTGATGGAAGCGAGTAGTACTTTACGGGTATTCAGAATCGTCTGTCTGGCAACACTATTTTTGTAATTAAATTTCTATTTTTTAATTTTTTTTTGTCATCATTTGATTATCAACAATAAAACTCGTTTACTCATACGTTATTTTATAATTTGGCTCACTTAATTTAACGATTTTTTACTGCGCAGTAAAATAGGCCTCGCGAACTTGATGTCGCCGACGTCCACCTGTGGTCTAGCGCCGCCACTGAGAATGATGAATATCTTTTTACGGACTCCATAAACATTAGTCAATAACGTGAGCTCTTTTATTAAAACTTGTCAAATATCCTATTGCATAATGTGTGTTCGCTGTATGTATTGTAAATTATAAGTGTATTAAATATACTCGAGATGTTGATAAAACATAATTTTGTGTAACATGTGAGTGTGCTTGATAATATATCCTCAAATTGACATGTGTATCCGTATCACGGATTTGATATATTTTTTTTTTGTTAAGAAAGTGTTGTAATTTTCGTTTTGTCTTTATTTTAGTTTGACCACATGACCGGAGGTAGTGCAGCGTAATATTATCAGCTATGTGATATGGTTTTAACAAACTTTGAACATAAATTCACAGTGGTTGGAAACTTAAGTTGCTTCAAACATGATGATGAGTTTTCTATCTCTAGTTTATACGAGCACTCTGCCAGTTTCGTGTCTGTAGTTTCGTTTCAGTTTCTCAACAAAATTCAGTAGCAACATACTGAAAATTGTTAATTTCAAACATTGAAAAATTAATGATTATTAACAACTTTTGGCATATCTATTTTGACAGATGTCATGAAATCGTTATAGCTATTAACGGGATTGTTACCATCTAGGTAGAGTCTGTGCGGAAAGAGAATGGGCGTGGCGAAAAACGGAACTAACAATAAGATTTTTATTTGGCAATCAAACCCAGCAATCTGTAAAACGAAGTTTTGTATTGATACGGATTTGTTTGTTGTTGTGATTAATTGCGGTTTTTTGTATTTAATTATGTCTAAAAGGGGTAAAACCTTACAAATACGGTAGAAGAGCACTACAGCGCCCTCCAATCTAAATCCCATTCTCTTTCCGCACAGACTGTATCTTGTTTTTTCGACACTATGTCAAGCAAGTTACTCCGTGATCATGGCGCTTGCAACAGTGCCGAAATATCGGAGACTCATAAAAAACAAGGTACATGGTAACAATCCCGTTAATATATTGTTTTAAACTTTCATCGTCACTAACATTATAGTAATATAAGTTATTTACGGGATTGTTACCATGTACCTTGTTTTTAGCGAGTTTCCGATATTTCGGCACTGTTGCAAGCGCCATGATCACGGAGTAACTGAAGTGATTGCGGGTAGATGTTATTGGCAGACATATCGGTCTACCCTCCGACGAAGTCTTTTATTGCGTTCGATACCCGTACCACTGTTTACAATTCTGTTAATAGTTACAATGTTAGTGACCATGAAAGTTTAAAACAATATGTCATGAAATCGTTTGGGTCGCGTGATATAATCGTCTCTGGAAGCGGGTAATGTCAGAAGTCTTCCCTTTGATGTTCTTTATACATATATCCCGAGCTGAGACTGATGACAAAGAACAGGTGACACGCATCATCTGCAGTCAACTCGTGGAACAGGAATATAGGCGTAGAACCGAAGAGATCAGCCCGCGTGCGTCAGTTGGAGTGGTTGCGCGCGGGATGGGGTTGCAGCGCGGGGTTGGCGACGGCGATGATGCTGTCGCCCCGTGCGGCCACCACTTGCGGCCGAGAGTCTTCTGGCTCCTGTGAATAACAAATATTTTGTATGGAAGAGAGTGGTCAAAAGAGTTTATCTTCTATATATATAAAACTCAAAGGTGACTGACTGACTGACATAGTGATCTATCAACGCACAGCCCAAACTACTGGACGGATCGGGCTGAAATTTGGCATGCAGGTAGATGTTATGACGTAGGCAAAGAAAGGATTTTGATCAATTCTACCCCCAAAGGGATAAAATAGGGAATGAAAGTTTGTATGAAACTTTGTCAATTTTATACCGATCGGGCTGAAACTTTGCATGCAGATATAAGAAGAATCATAGATAAATGTCATTGTGTATAATACAAGCCTGAGAACAAAAACTTTAGTCCACACTTCAGCTCTACACCGAAGCGAAGCGAGGGCGGGCCGCTAGTCATAATATATATAAATTACGCGCAACATTGTTTTTCCGGGACTTAACCGATTTTAATCTTTGCCCACCGTGTGTAGTTTGAACCAACTTGAAAAATAGGATAGCTTGCATCTCAATTTATAGTCGCAATAAGTATTATTTTATTGCAAATTTTTACTTTACGCAGTACGATTAAGTACAAAGTTCGCCGTCGAGTCAGCTAGTCTATTATTATATAAATGGTGTTATTTCGGTATTGTAAGGCCGAGTTATTATAAAAAACTAGAATTTGTAAAATAAAACTTTCACAGAGGTGAAATTTAAAAAATAGGTGCGTGTACTTATGTAGGCGCGTGAGAAGTTATCCTTCTTTGGCATCGTTTAAAATTAGTTTTTAATTGTATGCAAATAGTTAATTACAATAAATTAATAAAAAGTCTGGAAAAGGACACAGTCAATAAAGTTCAGTTTTAATTTGAAAAAATAAATAAATAATCAAAATATTCAATTAAAATCGCTACTGAATATAATTTATTAGAACATATGTGATTTGCACTTGTATGAAACTCAAACACGTATTCCGAATATACAAACTAGAAACATGTGGATAAATGTTATAAATATGAATACCTATAACTGTTACTTTATTACAAAAAATAAAGATGTGGTTTTTGGTTCTACTACACCAATGGTCAAGAGATGGCGCTGTAGGCTCCTGAATCGCGCTTTGGTTCCGTTGTTCCAGATTAATAAATACTTTTGATAGGCCTTCACAATGCAGTCGTTAGCACCCACTAAATAGAGATTCTATTTATAACTCAAGAGCCAAAAGAGCCTCTCAGCTCGCTCGCTCGGAACAAACAGCCCAACAAAATTACTCCGAGAAAAATATTCGATGTTTTACACGTTATCACGATAAATTATAGTCCGTAAACCGAATTATAGACAAACTTTGAAAATGTTTTTTTCGTTTGATACCAGTAGGCCCCCATTTTCGCGATATTTCGAGGTTTAGGGCCACGAGGACGTATGAGGGTTCAACAGACGCAGAATTTGAAGAGCTTTAAGATGACCTAAAATATTTTGGAAAAGTTGGTATGGAAAAAAAAATTTGCTAATGAAAAAATAATTATTAATCTAATAAAATTATCTAATATATAAAATTCTCGTGTCGCGGTGTTTGTGGTTAAACTCCTCCGTAACGCCTTTCCCGATTCTCATGAAATTTTGTGTGCATATTGGGTAGGTCTGAGAATCGGACAACATCTATTTTTCATCCCCCTAAATGTTAAGGGTAATCCACCCCTAATTTTTTTTTTCAATTTTAGATATTTTTTTTTTTCATTTTTTTATGATACATCATACAAAAATACATACAACCCTAAATTTTCACCCTTCTAACACCAACCTCTATTTTTTATGGCGGTATGAAGTTCGCTGGGACAGCTAGTAATCTATACTTATAATAAATCTTTAGAGAGGTCAATTCTGTACATGAAATATATTTTCAAAATAACTATCAGGGGGTGATTAGTGATCGATACTGATGCCAAAAATGCAATCAGTAAAATTTTTGTCTGTCTGTCTGTCTGTGTGTATGTTCCTTATAGAAACAAAAACTACTCGACGGATTTTAACGAAACTTGGTACAATTATCCTTCATACTCCTGGGCAGGTTATAGTATACTTTTCATCACGCTACAGTCAATAGGAGCAGAGTAGTGAAGGGAAATGTTGGGAAAACGGGAGAAGTTACTCCATTTTCTTAGCTTCCGTTGCGTGTGCAGCCTTAATGGTTAAAGTTACATAGAAATCATGTATCACGGAAATATTTTACATAGAATTGTCTAAAAAATATCCCGCAACAGCATATGTCTATCTTTTATGGTTGACTCACAATAACACGTGTAACTCCTGATAGCTTAGCAGTTCGGAGTATTCTGATTATATTTGTTTACTTTTACTTTTATAATACTCTCACTCATCCCTAATTTAAAAAAGTTAACATTATTACCTATTCAATAAAAAAAGAATCATAGAAATCGGTATAGAAACACCAAACTTATACATGAAATAAGCCATCGCGCCGTCGCACGTGAATACTGAATCATGCTATAAGGATTATCTTTGTGTAACGGTTGCCGCGCTCGACACGGGTCGCGGCGGCGGTAGGTATAAGAAGAATGTCATTGTGTATAATACAGGCCTGAGAACAATAACTATAGTCTACACTTCAGCTCTACACCGAAGCGAAGCGAGGGCGGGCCACTAGTCTATAATATATTTGTTTCTTAGGTTTTCACGCACACCACTCATTATATAAAATAAGTTTCAATGGTATAAATAAATATATCAGTGCGATTTATTTATTTATTTATTGGTGTTTCGCATCCTTTTTAGGATGCGCCATTAATCAAGTGACGCATACTGAAAACGATGCGAAACGTCAATAAATAAATAAATCAGTGGATATATACCGTTGAAACTTGTTTTATTTGATCTTTAATAGGTAAGATTCGTTTTCAATGCCCTTCCTGATCACGAGATCTGTGATTTTTTTCAGTGTCAAGTACATTAGGAGCGTTTTATTTAGGTTTGGCTCTAACTTAACCTTGAAAAAACCGGTTTTCCTAAAAAGCGAGATCAAATAGGTTTTGAATCAACTTAACGGTTTTCAAAGGGTTTCATTTCGCTCTTACTGACGGCTGAAATAAATACACAACTACAAAATGAATAACTTGACTCACTATCTAGCGTCTAGTGTAAACGTGTCAACAAATGCATCAATCTCTGAGCATTACCAAGTTGTGACTTGATTATTTCAAACAAAACAAACTTCAAGCGATGCCGACGCGTGCACGTGTCGCTCTGGATTAAACCGGTTTAACTAAAAATCGGTATTAACCTTTATTTACCGGTATTTTTGAAACCGGTTTCAAGCCCTGCTTTAAACTCAAATATCGAGCTGAACTTACGGGTGGAGGTGTACTGGTACTGGAGTAGGAACATCTGGAGTCTGCGTCATCGCTCTCGGCTTTCACGCCCCACCAACTGCGGAAAAAAAAATAAGAATAAGTAATATGGCTACAATTTAAGTCTTGGAAGGATTGTTGCAATATAAATCAACCAATTGTGATAAGACAACAACTTGGACACTGTCACTTTTGTTAAAGACATTTAAACCTTTATAGATAACTCATAAAGAGTTAAGCCACTTTCCTCAGCCTTTTAATGTCCCCACTGCTGAGGCACAGGCTTACCCTATGGATGGAATAGGGAGATTGGGCCATGACCCACCACGCGGGCGCAGTGCGGATCGGCGGGTGCTAACGACTGCAGATGCAGCCGGGACCATCGGCTTAACGTGCCTTCCGAAGCACGGAGGAAATCGGGATAGAAGATTTTGGTCACCCATCCAATGACCGACCACTGCGAAAGTTGCTTAACTTCGCCGATTGCAGTCGAACACGCTACCTACCTGCGCCATTGAGCTCCTCCAATTCACAATAAACCAAAAATTTATTGTGAATGAATGAATGAAAGTTTTATATCTTGAATATGGTTATCTTAAGCTCCTACGTGCTTCTCAAGGTATATTAAGTTATTGGCCCCGGCTGCATCTGCAATCGTTAACTTCCCACTGGCACTGTCCCAACGTGATGGGTCATGCACGACGGAATTCCCAGTAATATGAATTTTATTAGGTTGTTGATGATGATTAGTGATACTTTATAAATAAATAAATATTTCCAACACTCACACCAATTAGCCTAGCCTCAAAGTAAGCACCGAAGGCTTGTGTTACAGGATGCTAGGGTAACGGATAGAATACATTAATAGAAATACATATTAAACATCCATGACTGGAGTACGAATGCTCGTATTTATCACACAAACATCTGCCCCCACCGGGATTCGAACCGATTGTAAAGATAAAGTAGTTCGAAGAATAAGTAGCTTATGATTCAGAACATGAGGGTAGTTCAAATTATTAGTAAAGAAAGTAGTTAGGTACCTATGGTTGGAGTTGCTCCGCGCCGCGTCCGGACTCACTCGCGCGCCGCCCTCCTCCCCTTCCTAACACACAGGCACTGTTAATGCGAAGGAACAACAGGTCTAGAACTGGGTATATAGCGCAATATAAATACGAGAGTATGGAATAACTCTATCCTCCCCCCACTACATCGGCTAACTAGAACCGCGGTTCAAGTCTCAGAGACGCCCTCTAGTTGAGCCAACCCCCTCAGGTTCGAGGCTCCAGACGGAAAGGAGACTCTCCTTGTGGGAGGAGATTCCATCCGCCTGGAATACCTCTAGAATCACTCGTCAATTCTGGGCTTGAGGTCCCCTTAGGATCTTGCCGTTCTAAAACCCGCTGATGCTGTAAAAGTCAGCTGCGAACATTTCATACTCTAACTATTCTCATGTAAGGTCATATCACCAAATATTTTTAGAAGGTAGGCGATTCAAATAATATGCCGCAGCATGTAATGTCTTTCATGCATCCAAATACGGGCTAACGGCTAAAGTTATCGTACCATTAAGGTGGCTGAGAAGTATGCGCAAGTCGCGGTGCCAAAAACGAAATATAGGCGCGGGGTTTTCCTGAACTGAAACTTGTGCGTAGTTTCTTCACTCGCTGCTAACTTCAAAGCAGCCATAAAGTTTGAATCGCATTATACCGTTATAGTTATATTCAACACAAAACATCACAATGACGATAATATTATTAAAATTAAATCTTTGTAATATCTTTGTTGCAGAAAACATAATGATAATTGAGGACTTTGTATAAACAACAATATTTTATCATTAGCCAGCCTCGTACTTGATTTAATTTATTTATTTTATTTTTGGTTCTATGTCTGTTGTCTTTAATTTCTCTTTAAATTTTCGCTATATCGCTATCTTCATAATTTAAGTTTTTTTGTAATATCACAGGTGTACAACCAATTTTCTGAATCGCCACATTAAAGATTAAAGTAAATATTTACCTATTAACAAATAAAATATATATACAATGGTAAAGACTATTTTATCAACTTTAAAGGGTTTAAGAAATACCTAAATTACAAATTAATACCCGTAAAAATTATAAATAAACATGCAAACATAAATAAAAACTACTTACCAATTTTACAGCATGCTTTTCCTGTTAGTCAAAAGCAAATTATAATAACTAAATTATAAAATAAATTATGATTTATACAAGGCTTTTGATAAAGTAGAGATCATGCTTACCTTTATGAAATGATTACCATATACCTAAACGAAGTATTATGTGAGCATGCAGTGCTATCATTTATAATAAAAAGAAGGCTAATAAAAAAGGAATGTCTCAAGGGTAATAAATAAGGCCATTATTTAGTTAAATTATTATTTTCAATATTTTTTAGATCTTTAAATAGCTCAACTAAATATCTATACTAATAAGAATGTTATTACCAGTTCAATATTTTTTATCTAATAAGATTTTCGGTCTTATCAGATGGAAAATACTGAATAAGTAATTAATCTTATTTGAAACCATCTAATAAATTCTACTACATATTCATATTATTATTTACTCTATTACTGTTTTCATTATACTTTTTGTTCTTTTGGTTAGATTGTAGAATTGTCTCGAGCTGTGAATTGAATGATTTTTGTACCACAGATGTAACTATGTTTTGCTTAAGATGACTTTCACGTATGACTTTATACGTATACTTTTGGTAGCTCCCGCGATCAGGCTCCAAGAGAAGTAAAAACTACACCTCACTTGATAGTTTGAATCCATAATACACATTGAACTTTAAAAAACTTCCTAAAGACAAAGCTCGATGTGGCTGTCCTGTTGTTTTGTTCAAATTCTCTATTTTTTTATGAGAATGAGACTAAAGTTGGCTTAACAGAGCAGAATTTCAAAGATAAAATATGTTATATTTGCTATAATACTGTTTAGAAGGACTGGCACCCAAATCGTTTTTTTATTTTAAAACAGGTTCGTTATATTTTCAACCAGTTATTTATTCTTTATGCTTGACATGCAACGGTTATCGAAGCATTGAGTTCCTCATGTTATACTTTTTAAAACCAAGCCAAGGTTTTGAAATCATCATGTTTAAACTTCATTCTACCTCTACATTACCTTAAACATTTAATAAAGAGGGAATGATGGTGTTAAACAGGATAAAGTCTTTATTGATAAAGTGCTTCGTCTTATAATGTTTGAGTTTCTAATAGGAGATCATTATCTCTTGTGTCCCGGGTACATCAGCCTCGATAATGTTGGTTAGGTTTGGTAAATGGCTCTAAGTTTCCCGTGAGAGACCATTAAGAGAGACCATTAATGGTCTGTATCGTAATCCCTGGTAATCACTGGTAAGTAAATTCGACCCGTTGGTATTGGTAAGGTTAGGTTAGGTTAGGTTATATCCCTGAGCGGTAGGAGTGAGTAAGGTGACCTGTTACACAAAAGGCCTTAAGTTGGAGTTTCTATTAGTGGGAGACCATTATTGCTTGTATCATAATCCCGGGTAAATAAGTACATAAGCCCAGTTATGGTTAGGTTAGATGAGGTTAGATTAGATCCCCTAAGAGTGAGTGAGGTCTACATGCGTGACTTGGCCCAAGCTTTGTAATGGACCATTATTGTGTGTAACACAATCCCGGGTAAGTGATAATAAGCCCCGTTATGATTGAGTTAGGTTAGGTTAGGTTATATCCCCAGCGCTATGAGTGAGTGAGGTCTACGGTTGTGACCTGTCGCGCGCGCTTCGTTGGCGTCTCGTCTTCGTCTCGTTCCCTCTCGTCTCCCATCGACGCGGCGCTGGGGGGCAAACTGAAACAAAATATTTGTTTTGTCACACAAGCTGCTCCGATTACGGAATAATATCAGAAGATTATGGTTTGTGGAAGTCAAAAACAAGAATGATCCCAGTTTTTTGAAAAGGTTGTTATTTTTAAGCATTTAACTGCTAGATGTTTAAATCTCAAGAAAAGTTATACTAGATAAAAATCCACGCGGACCAGGCAGCGGACGGGACTCGAACCCTTCGCAATCCGGGCGAATGCACTGACCAATTATGCTACCACGGCCCTGATGGCCGCGTCGAAATTTTCCTAGCTTTAAAGCTGCAAGGCAGCGCCATCTCTTCGCATTGTAGGTAACCCACAATGTCAAATGAATACTTTTTCAAGTATTAAACATTTGTAAGAAGAAATAGCAATATAGTTTTGTTTTTATTTTTTTTAAGCATTTAACTGCTAGATGTTTAAATCTAAAGTTGTTATTGTTCATTTATCATCCCTATCGGTAATCTAATTTGGGACTTCAGCGATGTGCGAAGATATCTGCTGATTATAATCATTTTTTTTTAATAATACTTAATATTCAGTTATACATAAGAATACTTGCATATTCATACAAGTGCGAATAAAAAATATGTTGACATAAAACTATAAAATACACTAACTATAAACAAATAAGTCTCTATCTAATTACATAATAATGTGAAAAATAATGTTGTGAAAATGGTACTTAAGAATACTTGTGTTATTTTTTTTTATACAGCCAGTTCGGCAAATGACTCTACCCCACCTAGGGTTACTATTTAAAAATTTGAAAAGTCCTGACAAAAAGCAGGACATTTCGATAAAAGTCCGGACATTTTATTCACAAAATGCAAACATCACCCACTTAGTTACAGTGATATTATACGCGTGGTAGCAGATTTTTAAATGGTAACCCTAGGTAGGGTAGAGACATTTGCGGAACTGGCTGTATAAAAAAAATAACACAAGTATTCTTAAGTATAACTGAATATTCTCGTTGTTGATTTTTAAAGATAATTTGTTTTAAATTAATGGGAACTTAATAAATATTATTTGACTTATTTGATATAACTTAATAAGTAGTTTTACACATATTCCATCTAATTAAAAAAAATCTTAAATAATTAAAAAGATAAATTAAAAAGCCGCACAAAGTCCGGACACAGGGCAAAAAGTCCCCCGATGTTAAGTGGTGATAGAGTCCAACGCGAAGATAGCTGGTACAGCAATTATATATTTTTTTTAATTAGTGACATACGTGTAGTAGAAAATTTTAGTATTGTTAATATTATTAGTGTAATTAAGTAATCAGTGACGGAATTTTCAAATAAGTAATAAATAAGCATATGTTACACTCACACTAATTATATTTGTCATTTAACTCTCAGTAAATTAACTTCAAAACTGCGTAGGTAAAAGTAAGTTTTGCTCAATGTAACATATTTTTAGATGGGGACTGTCAAAACTTAGGCCCGTATATTACAGAATGACAACTAAGTGTTGATCTTTACTTGAGTACAGTTAGAAATGAAAGAAAATTCTAACTATGCTCAAGACTAGATCAATCACTGAGAATCTTTCTATAATACGGGCCTTAGAATGCTAGGTAAGCCGATGGATGTGTCCGGAAGAACGAATTCTAATTCTATATTTTAAATATGTCTTATAGTTATAAATTTTATTTTTTAAGCATGTAACTGGTCGATGTTTAAATCTAAAGAAAATATTACTAGAAAAAAATCCACGCGAACCATATCCTATAGTTTTAAACATGAATGCCAGCCGTAGGCACCCGACAAGCAAACCTTAGTACGAGTTTTACAATTATGAAAACTATGATAGTTTTCGTGAGCTCACACTAGTACAAAGGGGACTGTAGTATGTATAGTTACCCGTGCTTGGAGTAGTGCAGCCCGGCGCGGCGCACGAGCTGGCGCGCGAGTGGGAACAGTTGGTCGCGGCGCGTGAGCAGCGCCGGCACGCAGCGGCACATCTGTAGTATGTATAGTTACCCGTGCTTGGAGTAGTGCAGCCCGGCGCGGCGCACGAGCTGGCGCGCGAGTGGGAACAGTTGGTCGCGGCGCGTGAGCAGCGCCGGCACGCAGCGGCACATCTGTAGTATGTATAGTTACCCGTGCTTGGAGTAGTGCAGCCCGGCGCGGCGCACGAGCTGGCGCGCGAGTGGGAACAGTTGGTCGCGGCGCGTGAGCAGCGCCGGCACGCAGCGGCACATCTGTAGTATGTATAGTTACCCGTGCTTGGAGTAGTGCAGCCCGGCGCGGCGCACGAGCTGGCGCGCGAGTGGGAACAGTTGGTCGCGGCGCGTGAGCAGCGCCGGCACGCAGCGGCACATCTGTAGTATGTATAGTTACCCGTGCTTGGAGTAGTGCAGCCCGGCGCGGCGCACGAGCTGGCGCGCGAGTGGGAACAGTTGGTCGCGGCGCGTGAGCAGCGCCGGCACGCAGCGGCACATCTGTAGTATGTATAGTTACCCGTGCTTGGAGTAGTGCAGCCCGGCGCGGCGCACGAGCTGGCGCGCGAGTGGGAACAGTTGGTCGCGGCGCGTGAGCAGCGCCGGCACGCAGCGGCACATCTGTAGTATGTATAGTTACCCGTGCTTGGAGTAGTGCAGCCCGGCGCGGCGCACGAGCTGGCGCGCGAGTGGGAACAGTTGGTCGCGGCGCGTGAGCAGCGCCGGCACGCAGCGGCACATCTGTAGTATGTATAGTTACCCGTGCTTGGAGTAGTGCAGCCCGGCGCGGCGCACGAGCTGGCGCGCGAGTGGGAACAGTTGGTCGCGGCGCGTGAGCAGCGCCGGCACGCAGCGGCACATCTGTAGTATGTATAGTTACCCGTGCTTGGAGTAGTGCAGCCCGGCGCGGCGCACGAGCTGGCGCGCGAGTGGGAACAGTTCGTCGCGGCGCGTGAGCAGCGCCGGCACGCAGCGGCACATCTGCGCCGCCGCCTCGTTTACCATCACCTGCGGAACCATATCAATGTCAACCCCAAAAATTACTAACTCGAAGCAAACGACAGGCGCGGTCGCAGCCTGAAATTTAGGAGGGGGTCACTCATTACACTAATAAAAAAAACCGGCCAAGAGCGAGTCGAACTCGCGCACCTAGAGTTCCGTATACACCTGAATTTTCAAAAATATTTTTTAACTATATTATGATGTAACTAAAAATTCACGGTTTTCGCAATTTTTCTTTATCTGTACTATAAGACGTTACTTTGTACCAAATGTCAAGAATGACCTTAATGGGGGGGGGGGGGTCATGTCAATCAATTTCTCCTTACCTCATGCAACGTTAGCGGCTTCTCCGGTTTCCTCTTGCAATCGAACCGGCCGTATATCGCTGCGTACTTCCTGATCTCCTCCATCCTCCTCGGGTCTGACTCCGGCATCAGCATCACCAGCTCCAGGTCCTTGCACATCTTCTTCTTCGTATTCTGCGGCTTCGGTTCCAACTGGGGCAAGTGTTTGCTCAGTTTCTCCGCCGCAGTCGCTAATTTTTGTACATGGATGTCTAGTAAGACTGGCGTGAGTTGTACAGGAGAAGTGACAGAACTAGGACTAGATCCAGCTGATGCAGGAGGGCAAGCACTTTGAGGAGAGAACGACCGAGCTGCGGTAGAAGTGACAGGAGTCGCTGGGGCGGGAGATGATGGTAAAACTATCTTAGTGAATGTACTGATTTGGTGTACAGGACTAGCGTTGGGAGCTGATGTTGTGGAACCACAACTGTTTTCTGGAGCACCTGGCGAGGGACTGTACATTGGCCTATTGCTTTCTGGTGAGGCGACACTCCTTGGTAAAACGTTGGGTAAGGGAGGAGGGATGTTGAGTAATCTTTGGTTGCATTGTATGAAAGGGTTTTCGGTGGGACACAGGTTGGGAACTATGGGGATCTGGAAGAGGGCTGGGTTGTTCACCCATTCTTGCAGGGCTTTCTGGAGACGGCGCACGTGGAGAGGTTTGGAAGCCATTCCTACTAAAGCCATTATTTCCAAGAACTCCTCTTCACCTGCGTCGCACAGCTGCTGAACATCGTCTCCGCCTGTAAAAATAACCGTTGATAAAATAATTTATTACATATTCCTATTAATGATAAACATTGGTTTAATCCCAAATTAGGGACCTCCCACAAATTTCCAGACCCAAGGCACAAAGAAAAGTTTTTCCCCATTATCAGGGTCAAGGGTTGAACTTCAGATATGGCAATAGATAACTCGAAAACCATTCAACAACATAACGATATATTTCACTATAAAATACCTATACCTCAATATATATAAAACTCAAAGGTGACTGACTGACATAGTGATCTATCAACGCACAGCCCAAACCACTGGACGGATCGGGTTGTGGCATGCAGGTAGATGTTATGACGTAGGCATCCGCTAAGAAAGAATTTTGATCAATTTTACCCCCAAAGGGATAAAATAGGGAATGAAAGTTTGTATAAAACTTTGTTAATTTTAAACCGATCGGGCTGAGACTGTGCATGCAGGTATAAGAAGAATCATAGATGAATGTCATTGTGTATAATACAAGCCTGAGAACAAAAACTTAGTCTACACTTCAGCTCTACACCGAAGCGAAGCGAGGGCGGGCCGTTAGTATACCATGAAATTAGAACGTATTCTATAAAGTGAATTGTTTTCTAAACTTTTTAATGTTTATTACAATAATATACAAAATGTTACTTTTACCTACTAACTCAGTTATATAATCAGACTCCGCTTTTTTATAAGGAGTAAACATTATAATAAAATATATTACGATACCTAATTCATTATTCTACAAGCTATTGTTGAACTTTCTCAAGACAAAAAAAACTAAGTCACATTAATATGCAAAACTATCTTGTAAGGCAGGTTCATCATGGTCTCTCGACGCAAAAACGTGTGATGCTATGAAAAAATTCCGCCACACACTCGATTTTAATTTAGGCAAATATGTTAATACGCAACGTGACCATTTTGCGAAGGGGCCGAGGAAAAAAAAAACAAAAGGTGCGCGGAGCCGGCCAAACCCTTCTGGTCCCAGTCGGTAATTGAAGAAATTAAAAAGTGAAACATTTGAAAAGAGAACGAAAAAAGATGATTTGCATGAGGACGTCTGCGCGTGGTTTTTTAGCTTTTTTTTTGATCGCTTATGGAAATAAGTTTTTTGGACATCTCGAGCAGCGATGAGAAAGTGTTTTTTCTCGAGTTCCGAATGAATCAAATGAGCATGATTAGGGTTTGTCGTGCATGCTTCGTTGTATTTCAGTTTTGATGAGATAAATAATCTATTTCTTTTTTTGTAAAATGCTTGCTTTTGTTAGTAAAATTCGTACTTGTTTTCGTGTGTAACGATGGTGTAACGTTTGCCACAAAAAAGAAAAAAAAAGATGGTTTAACGTAACAGGTGCGTATATACTATCTACCTTATATAAACTTTGATCTCAGACCGAGTCCCTCTGAATTTATACTTAAACTTTTTTTTTTAATTTTTATATAAAGTCATCACGTTTTTTTTTCTTTTCTGTTTTTTTTTATGTTAGTAAGGCTATCGTCAGCTTTAATTTCTTACAATTTACCTTGTAGCCAACAAGAGTTTTTCATGATAATTTTTATTTTACTAAGATGACATCAAATGTAAATAATATTTACCCATTTCAAGAAGCGTGTCGTAGTAGGCCAGCAGACTAGCCCTCTGCATCACCCTATACAGCTGCAGTTCAGCTTCATTAGCAGGAGCCGACGTCACAACCACTGGAAAAATAAAAAGTCGTTTTAAACATACATAGTTTGCACGTTTCAAATAATACATGGCAATCTGTATAATTAATAAGTAAAATGTATCAAAAATATATTATTCATTTTATTGAATAGCACATGTATTCTGTACAATGTCGAATGCAGTTTTGGTGAGGCTGGGAGGTTTGGTTAAAATACATCAGCATCATCATCATCAGCCTATTAATGTCCCCACTGCTGGGGCACAGGCCTTCCCTATGGATGGAATAGGGAGATTCGGCCATGACCCACCACGCGGGCCCAGTGCGGGTTGGTGGGTGCTAACGACTGCAGATGCAGCCGGGACCGACGCCTTAACGTGCCTTCCAAAGCACTGAGGAGCTCGAGATAGTAAATTTTTGGTCACCCATCCAATGACCGACCACTGCGAAAGTTGCTTAACTTCAACGACCGCAGCCGAACGCGCTAACCACTTGCGCCATCGAGCTCCTTTCTTGGTTAAGATACATTCAGGCCAAAATCTGTTTATTTTTCACATTTCCGGTGGACTAACAGGTACTCTATACAGTCCCTAGGAAATCTAGGAATCTCTTATCTAATAGACAAGTCCGTCCGTCCATCCGTGGTGCTGTTTCAGCGGCCAAACCGTAAGAGATAGATAAAGAGAATGTTTAAGTTATAAGTTGAGAATAGTCTGATAAGACTACAAACCGGATGTGAGTAACGTAGCACTTCCGGTTTTCGAGAAATCACGTGATTTCTATTTCAAACGAAACCACACAAAATCTCCGAAGTTCTCAATAAATTAAATACATTTTTTTTTTGGTGAACATTTGGTTCACTGGTTTGCTAGTTGATTATATAACCTAGGTAAAAATAAACTGAGGAGCTGGCGAACAAAACGGTATATTTACCCATCTGGTAAAACTAGTTTATTTTTACAGTCTGGAGGTTTTGGGCCCATTGAATTTGCATTTCAACTCATTTTCAATCAAAACCGCCTAAAACAGTGTTCAAATGACTAAATTTATAAATTTACAAAAACACGCTACAAGCTCACTGTAGGTATGTCATACAGTTTTTTACAGCTCTTGTAAATTTTTATTTTATGAGATTATACCTTTGCCTTTCTTTAACAAAACAATCGACTCGCCAGAACAAATTTTAGATCTGTCAATAAAAAATCTTAAGTTTCATCTATGCACGATTTAATGATAAAAAAAATTATGTGTGAGTGTGTCGTAATTACAATTTAGTTTTTTTGCGAAAGTATGTTAGACTGCATTTGTGTGCATATCCCCCCCCCCCCCACCCCCCGAAAAAGAGGCAGAATGAATTCAGTAGTTTTGTGTCACTATGGCTACTCCCCTCCTGGCCGCGTCGGTCGTGTTACTCAATGCAACTACGCCACATTTAGGCCTAAGATGTTATGATAGAAAGCAAAAATTATAGAACGCCTATAGCAGGAGGCCTACTCTAATTCAACGAAAAACTAAATTTCGATCGGACCTTCGCACTTTTCTTACTATGTTTCTGGTTCTTTTTAATTATAATAATATTCGTCATCAGAATGTATAGATTGAGGTGTAGAGTTTCTAAGAAAGCTTCAATTCAATTCAATTCAATTAATTGCACTCATGTGGTTACATCGATGGTTACAAAATGCTTATAGTACCTAACATGAACCCTGTCGGGGTATCGCAATATACAGTACAGTTAAAGATAAAAATTACAAAAGAATCTAATTAATAAACAGTTATGTATATAAGTAACCTAATTTGTATTAAACCACTTAAATCTCAAATTATGCATAAATGTCATCTGATTCTTCAATTTGATAGTTAATCGTTCAAATTAAATATTAACTTAAATTGACGAAATTAAATTTCGTTTGAACTTCGCTATCGAAAGTTCATTTCGGAGAAAGATAGTAGACCCCCAGTTTCCTTATCCATCGATAGATGTTCAATATCTACGCAGCAAAGTTGCAATTGCAGCTTTGTGCAGTTTTAGAGTTCCTAGACCAACTTAGGAGCAAATATATAGCTCTTGGGAGACTACACCAAATGTATATAAACATCCCTTATTATAACTCTACTAGCAAACCAGTGAAACAAATGTTCACCAAAACCTGATTTCTCGAAAACCGGAAGTGCATCGTTACTCAAATCCGGTTTGTAGTCTTATCAGACTATTCTTAACTTATAACTTAAATATTCTCTTTATCTATCTCTTACGGTTTGGCCGCTGAAACAGCACCACAGACAGACGGACTTGTCTAATAGATAAGAGATACTCGGTTGAGAGTTATTACGTTAGTAATTTTCAGAACAATGTTTGCAAGAAAAGATAAGCGGTGCGGTTTGTTGGTTTCCGTTAAGTAAACTATGTGATATTTAAATCGTAAAGAATATATATATATTGCAAGGAGACGTAGATTTCTTTTTTTGATATAATAAACAATAAAAAGATTTATAATTTTTGTTATTTTAAAGCATGTAACTGCTTGATGTTTAAATCTAAAGAAAATATAACTAGAAAAAAATCCACGCGGACCAGGCAGCAGACGGGACTCGAACCCGCACCCTTCGCGTGGAAGCTTAAGAATGGCTAGAAGAATTTCGACGCGGTCCGTGAGGGCCGCGGTAGCATAAATGGTCAGTGCATTCGCCCGGATTGCGAAGGGCGCGGGTTCGAGTCCCGTCTGCTGCCTAGTCCGCGTGGATTTTTTTCTAGTTATATGTTCTTTAGAATATAAAGATTGATTGATCGAACGTTTTAAAACATTAAGCCAGCATCAAATGCAGAATCAAACACGATAGACCTAATTTAGAATAAATGTGTATTATATCATTTCTAATTCTATAAAAGCCCGTTATAAGAGAATTAATTTTCGAAAACGAAAATTTGCGTGCGTCTAACGATTCCACGGATGCAAATTGCGTGAGGAGAGACGCTTATAAAAAAACAACCCTTTTAATAACAACCCCAGCTATTACCGAAAAGAATCGCCGACCGTTAGCGAACGAAAAAATATACGAACAATACTTTACATAGAAAAGGGTTCGGTCTTTTGTTCAGGAACGGGTTAGAACGAAAGCGCCAATGCGATCTTGCGCGGGAAAAATATCGACCCGGCCGCCATGACACACGGAAAAAATGTTGCCACCCTTCGCGTGAGCCGTGGGTTTTTATTGACTTAAAAAAAAAACATGGGGGTTGTGACTCCACCCTCTGGGGCAGGTAAAAAAAGTTTACATTACATAAAAAAATTTAAAGCCACAATTTATATTGTTAACTATAGGTAGATGTTACATAAAACTTAAGTATATAGGGACTGTGTTACTTAAAGAAGTTCTTTGCAGTAACTTTAAAGTTTTAAGCAAAATGTTGAAACAAAAAGTCCAATAACAATGTTTAAGTTTTGACTTCTACCAAATTAATATCCTACCGGCCTACTAGTATTTAATTTTGATACAAACGTAAAGAAATTCGAATGTTTTTTTTCTATAGATAAGTCCGATAAATGACTCCACCCCCCTGATGTTAAGTGACGCTGAAGTTCAGACGTGAAGATAGCTGATACAGCAGTTCTACCTGCCATACCAGCTATCATCACCCTGCCGGCCTACATGTTGATTTTTCACACCTCTTTTAAAGGATCCCAGGTTGTAAGACACGTGAGCGGGCAGAGCATTCCATTTACGGATAGTGCGACAAAGAAATGAGTCTGTCTATGCATAAAAAGTGTTAAAACACTTTTTTACTAGACCTATGAAAGTCAAAACACTGTTTGTTCAATAAAGGACACTACGTATAATTTAGAGTACCTACCTAAACATTGTTTTATCAAATTTTAATTATAAATAAAAAAATATATATATTTTTATGCTCATTCCTTTTTTTTTGCTCTCTTAAGGAACGAAGTTAGGTTTTTTGCAAATTCAATGCCTTATTTGATATATTTTTATAATTAAAAATTACAAAAAATATTTATAATTTTAATTATAAATATATCAAATATATCAAACAAAATTATAAAAAATATTTATAATTTTAATAATAAATATATCAAATAAGGCATTGAATTTGCAAAACCTAACTGCGTTCCTTAAGAGAGCGAAAAGCAATGAGCATAAAATTAAAAAAAAAAACTACAACCCTTGCACATCACGAAGAGCATGAGAAAACTTTTTTTTCTCCAAAGCCATATCTCAGATTTTTATACAAAAAAAAAGTATTCCTAGCCAAGCAATGTCCAAAAAACTAATTTGCATAATCTTTACTGCCATAAAAAGTAGCCACGGCATGCAAATTATTTTTTTCGACCTTAGTAGGTGAAGGGTTGCCGCCCTTTTGCATGCCTATTGTTTTTTTTTCAGTTTAATTTTTAAAAAGTGGTCACGTATTTCATTTGCATATACGAACTTATTACAAGTTTTTAATTTTATGCATCTCTCACACACGAATTCTTTGTTTTTTTTTTTCTAGCGTCATCTTAAAAAAGTTTCTTTGCTTTTCGTGTGAGAAATGCGGCAATGGCAACGCACTCTTAATTTCGTATTGCCTTGTGGAAATCGAGATCTATGGTTAAAAATGTTCTAAAGGACTTTTTGGCGGGATTGGAAAGCGTCACTTTAGCAGTTTTGTTTTTCTTGTTAAAAATTGTGTTGTGGCGGATGTTAGTGTATAATAATGGTGGATTATTAACCACTAAGTGTTCGGGAACATGCACAAGTGTTGGCAAGTGAAACAAAATAGCGGAAAGTGTCTTTCGACGTTCCCTCAAGAACTCAACGGGGAAATTCCAGTAAATCCCCACACATTTACTGAAACATAGAGAAAGGGAGATTGACTTGACTGCCACTTACTTTGACTTGATTTATTACTTTGACCACGAGTGCTATAGAATTTGTAAACATTTTAACACTTGACATTGGCTAAATGCACAAGCCGTGCGAAGCCATTTAAGAAAAAAAAATGTTTTAACACTCATTAGAAAATATCATTAATTT